GGGTGGGTGTGTGCGTACATGTCCAAGATCCCGAGAGGAGAATGGAGGAGAAGGGATTGCGGTGTGGCCTTCCCCCCCGGGGGGTGATTTCTCGCTTTCTATCTCTCTGTCTCTCTCTGTCTTTCTGGCAAGTGCACGTGCCCTATAGCAAAAACCCCCCCAAAAAAAAAAAAAAAAAGGTTGGAATCCATATGGGGACCATGAGTTGGTCATTTATGTGGATGCTCAGAGTCTTGAGGAGCTAGAGGGTTAGGAGAAGGGGATCAGAGCATGACAAGAACCTGTTGGAAGTGCTTCTTTCTCTCTCTCTTTCTTATGTGCATGCACACATTTTCTATTAGCAAAAATTCCATATGAAAAATTTACAAGTTACATGCTTTTTTACTCAATATACATTTTTTTGATCATTAGACTTTTTTTTTTTTTGGAGAGGTTTTTGCTATAGGGCGCGTGCGCTCACCAGACAGACAGAGAGAGACAGAGAGACAGAAAGCAGGAAATCACCCCCCAGGGGAGGTGGCCACGCCGCAATCCCTTCTCCTCCATTCTCCTCTCGGGATCTTGGGCACGCACGCACACGCACCCAGCGTGAGTTTAAGCCACCGGGTCCGGGACTCAAACTGCAGTAGACTACGTGGGAGTCCAGCGACATAGCCATTATGCTAACTGCTGGTCCCGATCATTAGACTTTTTTATACCTTGTTTTCTCTTCAACTATATGCCTATTAAGGGATTATTTCCAAGAGTCCAACCATGGCAGTTACAGAGAACCAAAAATCATCCAATGTTTGTGTGGTGCCATTTAATAGTCAAACTTACAGTTCTTCCAAGATACATTTTATCAATCCAGTCACAAGCTAATAGCAGTTAGTGGATTTAAAATCATAAAGATGAATTAATAAAAAAAAAATAAAGGACCATGCTCCTATATTGCAAGTAGAATTAGGAATGCCTACAACTTTTCTGAAGGCAATTTATGAAATCCTTAAAAATGTTTATATCCATGGACCAGCAGGTACTGTAGTAGTTAAGGTACTGGATTCCACATAGCTGACTCTGGTTTGAATCCTGGACCTGATGGCTTGAAAATCACGCCAAGGGGACCAGCAGTTAGCGTAATGGCTATGTCACTGGACTCCCAACGTAGTCGACCGCAGTTTGCATCCTGGACCTGGTGGCTTAAAACTCACGCATGCGCATGTGCGTGTGTTCCCAAGATCCCGAGAGGAGAATGGAGGAGAAGAGACTGCGGCATGGCCATTCCCCCTGGGGGGTGATTTCTCACTTTCTATCTCTCTGTCTCTGTCTTTCTGGCGAGCGCACGCGCCCTATAACAAAAACCTCTCCAAAAATAAGAAAAAAAAATCACGCCAAGTACATGTGTATGGGTTCCCAAAATCCTGGGAGGAGAATGGAAGAGAAGGGATTACAGAGTGGCCATCACCCCAGGGACTGATTTCTCATTTTCCTTCTCTCTGTCTCTCTCCAGCAAGCACACACACCCTATGGCAAAAATCTATTGACCCAGTAATTCCTTATATATAGTATTGAACATTTTGATAAAAGAATGTTTAAAACGGTGAAAATTTGGAAACAACCTAACTGTACGATTGTGAAATATTATGTAATTATTAATATTTTCAAGCCTAATGATAATGGGAAATGTCTATACTATTGGGTTGTCAGGAAAATCATGACATACTTTTGCACAGAAAAAATGACATGACTTTCCCAATGACCTAATATTATGTGAAGAAATAAATACAAAATATATGAAAAAAATTATGCTAATTTTTACTCATAGACAAAGTATAGAAAAAATGCATCAAAATATCAAAAGGAATTATTTCTGAATGGTAGAATAAAGATTTTTCTTTGCTTTTTACTTTTTTGAACTTATTAAGATTTCTACAACAAATATATGTTATACTTATTATGAAAAAAATTCAGGGAATGAAGTGAATGTGAATGCTTTCTAAACTTGTAAGCAAACCTAAAAATGTTCAAATAATATCATCAACAAACATTTGGGAGGATTTATTTATACAAAAGGACACAAGATTTGCTAACATGGAGAAAAGAAGCTATGACACCTGCATTTATTTCAATTATTATTTACCACTAAAACGAATTAAATAGTCTAAATTTCAAATATTTTGCATGATAGCACATGCACACATGATCACATGCACACATATGCACATGTGATCTTCTGTGATCTTCCATATAGATTCAGCTTTGCTTGAACAGTGTGTTACTGATGTTCCACCAAGCTGGCCCACTTTAGATTCATGGGTTGCTTAATGACAGTGATAGAATTTGACAACTGCATTGTGTTAGGTAGTTAGTTATTGAACAAACATCACAGAATGTACTCACACAACCCACATGGTATAGCCCATTATCTACCTGGGCTATGTGGTATAGTCTATATGCTCCTCCTGATACCACAGTTTACATTGTCATTGACCAAAATGTTGTCATGCAGTGCATGACTGTATGAGCTATATATGTATATAATGAAAAAAATCAACATTTTTACATCAGAATGAGTAATTTCATTCCTACTTGGTCAGGTTACTTTATCCTGAAAATTAGCCAATCATCTATATAGCTGGAAGGAGAAATAATATTTACTGGTTAAATGGCAGAAAAGCTCATTTTTCCAAGAGTAGAAAGAGGTAAAACAGGTAGAGAATGTTTGAATGGACCCTTTTACAAAGTTCCTCTGATCCATTGTGAGCCTCTCTGGTTGCAGGAAAACAAATTTGATATGTCCTTCATCACATACCTTTTATCGCAAGGCCCATCAATGACAATCAATTAGAAAATCTGAGGAAAAGTGGGACCAACAGGTGGCGTGGTGGTTAAGGTGCTGGACACTCCCACATGGCTGACCACAGTTCAAGTCCTGGACCTGGTGGCTTGCTTTCTCACTTTCCTTCTCTTTCTCTCTGTGTCTCTCTCTGGTCAAATCAAAATAAAATGAATGAATGAATAAAAGTAAATTTAAAAAATAAATAAATATATTTTTTTTTTTAAAGAAAGAAAATCTGAGGAAAAGCAACACTTAGAAATGTTTGAAACACTGCAGGGAAGGCGAGAAGCACCATACTAAATACAGACAATTTGCCTCAACTGCATAAAAAAATCTGTATTAGTCTGTTGATAAAGTGAAAGTACCTTAGATTTAGAAGAAGTTGTATTTCAGAATTTCTGGCATATGGATTAAAAGTAAGATTATTAAAACTTAGTTTTTTTCTTTCCTCACTGAGGAAATATCATGGATGGATCATAGTTCTGAATTATACAGAGACTGCTAAGTAGAATGGACAAAGAGATGGCAAGCTGCCATACTTCCATGTCTCCTTCGGGAGTCTCTACTTTCCTTGCTTCACTCTCTTGGTTCTGCTGTTTATTTTACTCTGTTTCTTCATGAAGTACTTTTTTCCCACCTTTAATGTTTTCTCACTCCCACCCCCAACCTTGGGTAATACACTGGGAGCCTTCACTCCTTCCCTCAAGGGTCCTAGGGAGAGGCAGGACCTGAATCCCATTAGTCCAGGTCACGGGTGTTTGGCCCTTGCTCCTCTTATTCCCTCTCTCTCAAGCTGACCTATCTGCTCAGCTTCTGCATTCTGTGACCTGCATGTGGAGGTTCAGTCACGTGAACCCCCTGCATGCTTCCATCTGTCACCAGGCCCACCCGGCTTTTTGCACCTGTGGGAACTCCTGAGTGAAGCTGCTCATTGGTCTGCACAGTGGGACTGGTTTTATGGGCAAAATTACCTCCTTTTTTTTTTTAAAGTTTATTTATTTCTTTTTATGAGACTGAAAGACAGAGAGAGAGAGAAAGCACTCTCAGTAGGATTTCATGCCACAATCAACTCCCTTCCCCAGATTTTCTAACCAGACAGAATCATGGTTGCACATGGCCAGCATATACAAGTTGACCAAGAAACTGAACACATGGTCTTTCATATAAATCCAGCTTTGCAAGCTGGCCCACTTCCAATTTTAATAAGCTCACAGACAAATGACCAGATTTAGAATTATATCGTAAAGCATCACCTGCTCTCAATCCTTAGGACTGCTGTCTTCACTGAAAAAGTAGCTTGGACAGGAATACTTAAGGTCATCTTTCCCAGCATTAACATGGGAAGAAACCTCCCCAATGACTCACCGCTGGCATGATTTCCCCACCACATGTTCTCTGCACTGGCACATTCCGGATGGTCCACTGCACACAGGGCTGAGTGCTCCACCAACATCGCAATGACACCCTGAGAGTCAGGAAATAGTAGCAGCTGCCCATCAAACCATCTCCACACTGAACGCTTCCCCAACTTCTACCAGAAGGGAAAGCAATAATCCAGTGCTGCAGCACCTGTCTTCTCTCCCCCACCAGAATTTCTACTTGGTAGATGACTGAAATATGTAGGAAACTCCCAAACTAAAATGGTATTCTGCCATTGTTTGAATGTCCTCCCAAAACTCATGTGTTGAGATTTGTGATGAGATTAAGAAGATGAAAACTTAATCTGAGTATGGTGTTGAAAGGTGGGGCCTTTGGGAGGAGGTGAAGATTAAGGCCATCATGGTGGCCCCCATGGTTGACTCCTGGTGGGTTTGTAAGAGGAGGAACTGAGGGAGAGATACATATGGGCACAGATGCATGTGTTTCTGCCCTGCACCTGTTGTCATACAGCCAGAAGACTCTCACCAGATGTAGCCTCTGGGCTTTTTACCACCAACTGAGAGCTGAGTAAGGAAAATAGTGTGAACTCTGTTGTCCAGTACAAAGGTGTAGTAATGCAGGAGCTAAACATGATGTAGAAAAAACACTGTTGTAAATAATGTGTGCTAAAGAGGGACTATGCAAGAGATTCAAGAGCTGGTGGAGTGACTGTTCCTACAAGTTCATTTTTAACACACATTATCTCTAAAAATCTAATGTTAGCTTTTCTTTTTCTTAATTGCCAGAGAGTATGTGCATTCACCAGAGAGACAGAGAGAGCAAGAGAGGGAAAAGGTGACTGAGAAATTACTCCCTAACTGAGAACACTCACTCTTCAACCCTTCTCCTTCATATCTTCATCTCATTGGGATTTCGGGTGCACACACACATACACCCTAATGTATTTTTCAAGCCTCCAAGGCTGGGACTCAATCTGTCTTTGGCCACATGGGATCCTGTTCTCTTAACCCTAGACCATGGGCTGGACTATGTTAGCTTCTTTGATAAAATGTATCTCTAAAATTACTAAGTCTTGAGGGCAGCAGGTGGCTTGGTGATTAAGGTACTAGATCCCTACATGGCTGACCATGATTTGGGTCCCAGACCTTGTGGCTTTCTTACTTTCTCTCTCTCTCTCTCTCTAATGAGCATGTGTCCTATAACAAATTAAAAAATAATTAATAATAATAATTAAATAATTATTTTAAAAATGACTAAGTCTTGATGTTATTTTTAAAATTAACACATGACCTCTTATATCATTTTTTTAATAGTTAAACCAACAATATCCTGGTAGAAGAGGCATGAAAGTACCTCCATTTACAATTTATGACTAGTTTTAACTGAAGATTTAGCAAAATTCCCTGGACAGAAAGTTTCAGTGCCATCCCATCAGAAAGTCTACATGAAGACAATAAGCACAGAAGAAAGACTGTTCCAGTACTCTTTGTCTATCAACACTTTATTCTGCTCAGGACTCTCTGAGAGTATTTACCTTGACACCCAAAGTAATTGCTCTTTTCCACAGCAAAATAGCCATCTTCACAGGTGTCACAGGAGTCACCATCGACATGGGGTTTGCAGTGACAGTCACCATCTCTCTGAAGAAAATGAGCCAGAGGACAAAAATTGATACAATTTTAGAATCTAATAATCTTTAATATTGAAAACTGGTTCATTGTCCAATAGGAAGCCATGTAGCCAGGACTGGGAAAAGATCATCACTCATTGATGACTAGAAGGTACAATACATCCTTCAGAAATTCCACAATTATTACCCCCTTTCTCCTGTTAGCATATGAAAATTGGCCTACATTACCTGCCCACATTCTCCAATTCCACTCACTGTCCCTGCCTCGTGGCACAGGCATGCTGTCGAGAAAAGAAAGCATCCATGAACCAAGTGTCACAACGATAGATAGTCACCAGCTCTGGAAACACTGCACACCCTCAACATGACACATGCAGGCAGACTTTGGAGCACACTTAAACAGAATTACAGTGTGCAATGCTGAGGCCTAAGACTAGATCACTTTCTGGATTAGCAGGACAGACTGATCAACACTATCCATCTCCGGAGAGTATTGGCTGATTTACAATTACTTCAAGATAAAAGCTGCAACATCATGAGATTTTTTTTTAGTAACTTTTTTTTCATTAGAGATATTTTTGTTACAGGGCACATGCATTTGCCAGAGACAGAGAGATAGAAAGTGAGAAATCACCCGTGATGGGAGACGGCTACATTATACAGTCCCTTCACCTCCATTCTCCTCTCAGGATTCTGGGTATGCATGCACACCTGCCTGGTGGGATTTTTAAGCTGCTGGATCCAGGACTCAAACCACAGTTGGCCATGAGGGAGACCAGCGACATAACCATTAAACCATCTGCTGGTCCCAATTTTTTTTTAATGATTCTAATGTCAAGGTCATCATTGATGTGCTTGCATGAAAATACACTCTATTTAAGACTATTCACTCTGTTTAGTACCATTAACTCAATGTTTTTATCCCAACTTCAATATAAGCATAAAAATTAAAAATTAAATTAAACTATAAAGCGTTGATTATAAAAACAAAGAGGTCAAAACCATGGATCAAGAAGCTGCCTGCACAAATAACAAAGTACATATGGAAACAGGATATAAATCCCTTGCTAAGAAATTAAAAAGGACAAATGTTTTGCCAAAAGTAAGAGGGAAAACACTAAAAACATTACACAGAATTTCAGACAAATCGAATTGATTCAACAAATAGTTCTTTTGTGGGTTTAGTCACTGAAATAGATAAAATTAAGAGGAAGATACAACATAGCAAATTACAGTGTATAAGAAACCTTACCTGAACATCCCTTGGGGTTTTCTTCGGCCAGGTTCCAATATAATGGTTTGCAGATGCTACAAGTAGGACCTTCAACATGCATCTTGCATTGGCAATGTCCCTTTTAACAAAAATTAAACTAACATTTGACATCTTGGAATTAAGATATTCTCAAATATGTGTTCTGAGCACTAGGCTTATCACAGAAATATATTTGGGGCATAAAAAGTAAATTAAGCACACTCAAAGGGAATAGAAGGACTGGGTTGACTTCAACAGTCTGCTAAATGTTTTGTTTCTGTATTCATTTATTTGTTACATACAACTCACATTTGTGGTTAAGAAATTGGAAAATACATAATAAATTGGAGAAACAAATTTTAAACTCACTCTTACTTATAACATTATCAATGTCTGTCAGTACTATATAGCACAGACTACACATTTAAAAGGAAAAATATCTGAATATTTAACATTACAAATTAGTAAAGAATTATGTTTATCTGAGCATGATTTTGTAATATGCAAGATTCTTTGCCTTGCTCCAATACCATCAAGACTCATAGAAAGAACAGCATGGACCAGCAGGTTGCATGGTGGTTAAGGCACTGGACTTCTACATGGCCAATCATGGTTCAAGCACTATACCTTGCAGCTTGCTTTCTCACTTCCCCTCTCTCTCTCGTGAATTAAAACATAATAATAATAGAGAATCTGTCCAGGCATCTCCATCTCTGTCTCTGCTGTCCCTTCTGGGTTCAGTTTCATGATGGTGAAGCCCCCTCCCAGTCAGAGTCCCCCCCTCTTTCAGACCCCAATGCTAGACAGAATCCATCCAGGCATCTCCATCTCTGACTCTGCTGTCCCTTCTGGGTTCAGCTTCACAGCTGTGAAGCACCCCCAGTCAGGCCTCTCCCTCTTCCAGACCCCAGTGCTAGTCAGGTAAGTAAAGTTTCTCTCTCCCTCTTTTCCTCTTGTTCTTTTCTGTTCTGTCAAACTTTTATTTTTCCTCTTTAAACAAACAAACAAACAAACAAAAACAGCTTTCTGTCCCCTCCCTGTGCCTTTCTCTTGTTAATTTGTCTCTTTTTCCTTCACCTAGGACAGAATCCATCCAGGCAACTCCATCTCTGCCTCTGCTGTCCCTTTCTGTGATGCAATTTCTGTGTTTTTTTTTTTTTCTCCTCTCTTTGTTCTAGTCCTTTCCTTCTTTTTCCATTGCTTTTCCTTCCTATTTCTGTTTCCTACTCTCTTTTTCTTTTCCCTTACTTTCCTAGTTTACTGTTCAGCCCTTACCCACTGCCTAGAGAAGGCTAAGTGCATAGTAGCTAAACATCTGAATATTGTGAGTTTTAGAGAATTATTTGCCCTTCACTGTACTGGTTGTTAAAAGAGTAAAACTCCTCTTCATAAATCTGATTTAAAAACTCTTCCTGGGGGCGGCGGCGGAAGCCGCGGGGCGCCCGCCCAATGGCCCCGGGGGCTCACGCCCCTGGCGCGCGGCGGCGGCGGTGGCGGCGGAGACGGAAGAAGGCCCCGGGGGCTCACGCCCCCGACGCGCAGCAGTAGCAGAAGAAGCCGGAGCCCACGCGCGCGACCA